TAAAATGCCTTTTAAAATATGCATGTTTTTTGAGAAAGAGGGTGTTTAGAAAGATGTGTTTTGAGGAAAAGCCTTCTAAAAATATCAATACTTGCATCCAATTGTTGCACTTACATCCCAAAGGGTCACCAGTTCTGCACACAGAATCATTGGTTGCCCTCTCTCCTCTTTGGAAGAACTTTATAGGTCCTGCAGCCTTAAGAAATTTCTACTCTCAATATTCTTTCTGCCACCTGACAGATACTCTTCTGAATAAATAGCACTTCGGAGTAATTTTTATGTGAGATATAGCTATGCCATATACAGAAACTTTCAGTATTTTACTTTAGATCCAGAAATTGAATTGTATCCCCTATCATTGATTTGATTAGATTTTTTAAAATGATCATTATAGTCACAGAGAGAGCTTCACACCTGGGCTCAGAATCCAATCAGACTGGATTCTGGATCTAGTTGCAGGTTGAAAGATCTAATTGTACTAATGGGAAGGCAGGTGATCAAATGGCTTTCAGACAACCTCTAGAAAAGGAAAACAGGAATGAATTTGCTCTCCCAATCCCAACCACAATAGCTCCCACACACATTTAAGTACCTGGTTATACTTTGAATAAATGTCTGGACAGCTAAATGAGCATGAGTACATGGACACAGATCAAAACAATAACCTTCATATGTCCCATGCACCTGGTAGAATCATAGCCTCTCACACACTAATGACCTCATGACAAAGGGGTAAAATCAGTGGCATATACTAGTTTAGCGAAGGTCACCCTTGGAGCCTGCTGGCTCCCATCAAATGACACCGACAGGGCTCCATGGGCAAAGTAGGGTGGAGTCAGTGCATGTCACTGCTGCAGCAACACGGGAGGCCTCCCATGTTGTCATAGGAAGCCATGTGGGGGAGTCACGTGATCAATTCTTCCCTCCCCCATGGGATCACCCTTTAGTGGAGCCAGGTGATGTGGGATGAGTGGTGCCAGGTTCCCCACTCCCCCCAATGATATGGAGCAACACATGGTCATAAGTATTGAAACCCTGAATAAAGTTTTTTGACTACATTTAGCTGAACTACTTTCAGCTGAGCTTCCATGACTGGGGGCTCTTCCAAACCTTTGATTGCTTCTGGATAAATCCAGTTTAACCCAGATTAAACCTGGATTTCCAACACCTGCAAAGATCCAATCTTTCAAAAAGGCCCAGATCTTTGCAGGTGTGGGCCTATGGGGATTGACACTCCCCCCTCCCCTCTCACCCCCCCTTTGAAAAAGTACACATGAGGGACTTCAATACTGATAGGAACCAGCATTTTAAATGCCATTTTGTCTCAGAATTTAGGCCTATCTGGAAAGGTCCTGGGAGGTCTGATAAGGCAGTCTGATAAGGTTTGATAAGCTTGATACCCTCATTCAGCCAAATACAGTTACAGGCTGGTTACATATGTGCCCAGTTCTTGGGGTGGTGATGGAAATGTCTACATGGGAACATAAAATTGAAGAGGAAGAGGTGCTTTTGAAAACCTTTGCCTCAGCAACCTTCAATGCATTGATTCCTGCTCTCCATATTCTTTCAGATAACATTCTGAATAAATAGCACTTAGGAGTAATATTTACACTTTACTCATCTAAATGTAAGCTCTCGTTTCTTTTAATCGCCATGTCAAACATACAACAGATACTGCATGCAGGGCCACAGCTGGGGGTGGGGGTGGGGTGGGGGTTTAAGCATTCAACCCCCCTCCCCAAATGTTGAATTTAAACTGGTTAACCAATTCATGTGGAAATCAGTTTTTTTAACCTGACACATTTTTTTGGAGGGCGGGGTTGAATCCTTAATTTCCCCTCATGTCTGGCTATGGGCCTTATTACATGGTCCCATCAGTATGATGTGGGTAAGTGGCTGAATTTATGGCTGGTATGCATCTGGTTAGGTCCAAACACCTCTTTAAGGCAGAAGAACAAAAATGTGTGAATCCTATTGGTGTGATTTGGAAGAGTAACTGAGTTTTTGGAATCCTGAGATTTGTTTTTGGTGAGTTACTTTGTGGGAGCCAATGTGGCATGGTGGTTTGAGCATTGGACTATGACTCTGCACAACAGGGTTTGAACCTTCGGTTGTCCATGCCAACCCTTCAGCACGTCACACAGTCTTAGCCTCAGAAAACCCCATGATAGGTTTGCCTAAAGGTCACTATAAATTAGAAACAATTTGAAAACACACTACAACAAACTTATAAATCTTCTCTGGAGGAATTTGGTGCTATAGTGCAAGAAGGATGGACGAGAACTGTTTGACAGATAATTCTTAAAGGACTCACTATCAAGTTAAAAATCCCAAGATTCCAGAGAACAGAGTTATGGAATTTAAAAAGTTAAAATGTTATATATATATATATTAGGGCTGGGCGGTTTCGTTTCGTTAATTCGTAATTCGTTAATAATTCGTTAATTTTTCAATTACAAAATGATAACGAACCATTCTGGAGCAATTATTTTAAAAAACGAATTTTCAAAAACGTTTTGTAAATGCTTCGTATTTCGATATTGTATTCGTTTCGTTATTGTTTTGAGGTCGTTTCGTTATTATTTCCGCATGTCTGGGCCAGTTTTATGGTTTAATTAGTGAAAAAAAATTATAATATCACACCAACAGTCAACAACAGAGGAAGAGGGAAGCTTCAGAAGGTTTTGGAGGTTTTTTAGCGTATTTCGCGGTTGCGTCCGCCATTAACGAATCGATTCGTTATTGTTTCGGAAATCGATTCGTTAATTTTTTACCATTTACGAAATTTCGTAAATATCGAACTTTTTAAAAGGAAAATTTTGTAATTATTTTAAATATCGAAACAAAAAAAACCCCCAAATACAAATCGATTTTAGAAACAAATTTTTCCGTTGTTATCCAGGCCTATTATACAGTGAACAAACCCTTAATCTGTTATGTAGTCTCTAAAAAGCACATGATTCTTAAACATTCTGTTCCTAAGAACAAATGCATTTTTTTAAAAAATCCATCATTAGAAAAAAAATATTTTGCTGTTACATGCTGTGCAAATTTTGCAGCTGCCTTCTGGTCAATTCAAAAGTTGACAATGACCAGGTGATGAAGTTTTCATGGGTATTAAATACTTAAATACATTACTCTGCCTGCAGAGGACACATATTTACCTATAAAATGCCAAACAAAGAATAGTAAATTTTCACAAAAAAATCAGAACCTTTGAAATGCAAAATCAATGTGTCAAAAATAACAAAGAGAATATTTGGATCAGCTCTGCAAATAGTGAGCTGCTACAAGTGCTGTCAAAATTAATGAATTCCTTCAAACATGGTCGCAACCCTGCCTTTCTTAGTAGATCCTTACATTATTGAAATAAATATGCTTATCTTGAAAGCAGGATACTCATAACTCATTCTTGGTTTTGAAAAACTAACAAGGGAAGGATGAATAAAGTTAAGTAGGATATTGAATATTGCCAAGTGGATCCCAAATTACATCACAAGAGTTACATTCTTGAATCAAAGTCCTCTTTGATAATCTATCATTTTGGGGTTTTTTTCAGGGGAAACTCAATAGCTCTGGGAAACACAGTAATGACAACATGGCCATGGGCCTCCTTGCTTGTTGTACATTATATCCAGAGGTTTTGTCTGTGGCAACAATGACTTATTTTTGTACAGCTCTCCATATGTGAAACATTGCAGGGATCATATTTTTTGGAATACATTGGTGTGGACCCATCCATTACACATGAGCAATGTGGAGATGTACTATTATGCCACTGATTTATAATGCAGGGTCCTAAGATCCTCTCTGCGACTGTCCCATTTGTAGACTTAAAATTTCTATTCATTCCATAAGAGTGAACAGTCACATAAGCACACCTCTTCTAAACATGGAGCTATCTTGTGGTGGACAGGAAAATCTCATTGGTGAGAAGTCTCTATATATTACCAGAAGGCTTACTTTGGCAAGAACTCTTGGGACTTAGACGTCAGTCATCATCTATTATGAGCTAAACATATCCCACCTATCTCAGAATCCTTCTGTTTGAAGACAAAAGAAGTACATCTATATTGAGATTCCACCTACCATGGAATAAATGTCTAACATTGGTTTGTCCACAGATCAGTACTTATGGAGGGAGCTTTTGGAAGACCAGAAACCCTTTGTTGGATATTTTGGAAGAAGTCACAGAAGAACAAAGAAGGCTTTTACATTGGCAGAAGCCTAGTCACATGGTACTTAATTTAGCCTATTACCTTATCATTGCAACTTAATTTAAATGTTGACACAAATTTGTTTTGCAGTATATTTAGCTTTCACTACACCCATACTTAGACTGCAGTTTTTCAATTTGTTGGGGCAAGGGTGAGCTGAGCAATTAAATGATACTTCATATCAATAAAATGAAATAAAATCCTAGCACATATAAAACTAACATCAGACAGTCAACTAGGCAAGAATCTTTAGTAAACAATTTTTTTTCAGATGTAGGTATTGTTTAAATGAGTTTCAAAAACAGGCCTCAATAAGGAATAAAAGTCAAACTTGCTACTTGACAAGACATTTCTTCATTCTATGTAAATCCTTTGGCAATATCAAAAGCTCACAAAAAACCTAAAATGGTTGCATAAAACAACAATTATGAGTCTCCACGTTTGTGTCACAAAGAGCAGCAAAGTCTATTCTTTCTCAGCATTTTTTCTGAATATGGGACATGAATTTGTATAATATAGCAATCACAATATTTTTATAGATGGACAGTGGAAGTATGGTTAGGAACCAATATACGGCAGGTTACGATGATGGGGTCTCAGATTTCTTACAATTTCCAAATATAAATTGAAGGATTTGGTTTAGTTAGCAACATTTATGAAGAATCAGGGAGTGGGGAAGAAATGAACATCATGTAAAGTATTGTTGAGGAAATATGGCGCCAGCCTTCACCAATCTCTAGAATTAATGATGGAATGACATTTATGTTTGGTGATAGCATTTACCTCTTTAAGACAGCCCATAAAGTTGTTACTGACTGGTGACCCTGGCAAGTCGGCCGTACTGGGACTTCCTCCAACATAGAAAAAGTCATCGGAGCCCAACATGGTGTAGTCTTCTTGTGTGTAGCCCGTTGTGGTCAGAATTCCATCCACTGATATTGTCACCTAGATAACAAAGCACAGGGAAAGGACACGCTATACTCAGACCTACATGCTAATGTCCTGGGATATGCCTCGTTTTTTTTTTATTTTTTTATTTTTATTTTTATTTTTTATTTTTTTGAGACCTAAGGCGGAGCCCATTTTCATGTCTGTTTGAGGTTTAGTCTTGGATTCTATCCCTAGGAACTCTAACTAGTTAAAAAGAGTTGTCTTATTATTGAGCTAGTGTCAGCAAGTCCCTATTCGCAACTCAAGAGGTTAATTAGCAGACACAAAAATGGTGTTAGTAGAATGCTTCCTAGGTTAGTTTAGCTGGTGATACATATTAGTAAGTTCAGTAAAGTCTGTCATTAACTGATTAAAAAGAACGTGCACTTTGATAACAGAAAAAAGGCACAAGCAATATCGCCAGCAGCACCATCACGGTTTGCACCATATATACAGCAGCGGATTGTCCATGCAAAGCCCTGATTTCCATGCCAAAGCAGGAGGGGTAAAAAGAAGGTGGAAAAAAAACCCAGCAAAGAACAACCAAGTGGCAGCAGCACACGCTGATGTGCGCATGCAGGGAAAGTGAGTCTCAGAGGAGGAGAGGAAAGGAAGAGAAAGGAATGAAGAGAACCAAACAGCTTGTTGATGAAGTAACAATGGGTGGATGTGTCACTTCCGTCATAGCCGTCCATGCCCGCATGCCATGCATTATGAATGGTTAGAACACCAGCTAGGCCGGTGGCAGGTTAGGCCAGCTTAATCCCTTGTTAGTTAACCACAGCTTCTGATGCAAAATGTTAACGATGCCCCTCAACGTGTGAGTTCAAAAAAAAAAGAGAGAAAGAGAAAGAATTGGACGGGAACAGATAAAGTAAAAGAAAATAGGAGGTCAACAACAGATGAAGAGGAGGTTAAAAAGGTAAGCAGAAGAGTACCAACCGCAGTTCCTCTTTTGTTAATGATGTCTACAGTTAAAAGAAAGAAAGGAAACACACGGCAAACCCAAAATAAGAAACAATTAGAATGATATCTACCGAACAATGTAGTTTGTTTACCATAGCGTGTCCAATGCCTGAGTGCTTTGTGGAGAAGGGGGGAGAAAGGAAATTAAAAACTTGTGAACAGAATAACGATCGTTTACTTAAAAAATATGATGGTCTCTACCAATGTTAGTACATTATTTTGGTTCAGGTAACGGTTAGTAGAATGAAACATTCCATGAATGACATGTTAGTTATTAAGCATGTTAGTAACACAGAAAAAAGGGCAAAATAATTTTACAAGGAAAAATAAAAAAGCAGACTAACAGATATGCCTCCACAGAGGTAACAGCAGTTGTCTTTTCCTGCAAATATATTTATATATAGATCGATATAGATATATACTGTAGAACTTATTTCAGCTCTCCACTGGACAGAAACAGACATACGACCACATTCCCTTTGTTTTCCTCCAACTGAATGTTTCTGACAGACATCCAAAATGACTCTTGGGGGGTTGGAATGCCTAAAGCTCATCAGCTGACCACAGCTTCTCTTGACCCCCCCAACCCTTCCCAAACTTATTTCCCAGAAAATCAATAAGGAATCCCTTCATACTCCATTTTTAAATATTTTATTATTTGTTTTAGTATTATTATTTTACTCAGCACATAAGGACTCCTTCTCAACTCCAAAACGTCTTTCGGTCATATTGATGGACTTTAGGATCACAGTTTACTGCAATGAAACAAAGCAAATATCCTGACACATAACAATGAGTAGAATGGATTTCTGCAACTGCCTCTCTGGTCATGCACCTGCTTGAACATCTATGGCTGGCAACTTCTGCTCCCGTCCCACTATAGATTTTATATGTTGGATTCTTTTAAACAGCTTTGGATGAGCAAAGGCAAATCTAGAAAGTGGGCTAGTTGCGTTCTAATTACAGGTTCCTTTACTATTGAAATTTGTAGTAATATGTGCCTTTCAAGTGTAATTGTGCAAAATAACTTGTTTGGGACATGTATTATTAATGACAGTTTTCATTTTGCTTTATCATATCCTTTGTTTATCTATTCGATGCAAACACCTCAGTGAATGACTTAATAGTTCTTATCCTCACATGAACTCTGAGAAGAAGGCGCAGTTCTGTATATTTAAATGAAACCAGGTATATAATGGCGGTGAGGGATTTTGCATGGATCCAATGTTAGGTCTTGAAGAGGGAGCTTATTTTATAACATCCATGGATTAGTAAAAGGAAAAAAAATAGATTACAGCTCCTTCCACTTCTTGCTTCGGTGCTTCATCATGTGGTTAAAAACTGACCTAATAAGAAAGCACCTGAATGTCTTGGGACTGTTGTTGCTTTCTCCATAGCAGCTTCCACTTTGGTGATAAGAGGTATAAAAGCATCTGGTCCATTGCTTCCTCTAGCAAAGATGTGGGCAAAGGTTTGAAAAATAAACATGTATTTTTATTTGAAATAGAGCCAGGGGTCATGCAGTCTATTTAAGGAGCGAATTTCCATTTCTGGAAGGCAGTCCAGGGAGTTGGGAGGGTTGAAGGATCTGTAAAACAATCTAGAGGCCCATATGAAGCCCATCCCCTGCTCCTAGCTCAATGTTCACAAGAATATTATTGACCGAATGAGCACTATCCAAGCAGAAATATTTTTGCTTTCATTTTCTTCATATTAGGTTGGTTCTATGAATATCTACATGAATATTCACATATTCAAAGTATGGGAGGGCGGAGCACAGAAATTGAGGTGATTGTCACAGTGTGAGGAACATGTAAAAAGTGGCCTAAGGCTAAGAATCAGCATTTTTATGAACCTTTCTGTAATATGAGATATGTGGCATGACCTTTTATGTTGCTACACTTGGGATCTGGATATCCATTTCTAGGGAGATTAGGATCACCCTCTCCTCCTTGCCCTGTTTGTTGTCATGCAAAGACTTTTCTATTCCAACAGATTTTGGAAAACTGAAGATTTTTTAAAAGGATCTAGACCTATTTTAATTGTATTGTTTTAAAATATTATTATTTTAAATAATATTTTAAAATATTATTATTTTAAAACTCTTCATAATTTTCCTACTAAGTTAATTTAAATTTTGTTGCTTTTTTGGTATGCTGTAATTATATGGCACTTGTCCTACTTTGCAATCTACCTTTACTCCCAGTTGGGTGCAAAAGGCAGGGCATAAATAAAGACTGTTGTTATTCTGATTGTGGTTGTTGTTATTGTGATTGTGGCTGCTTCTGTTGTTAGTATTTGTCTAAGGGCAAATCACAAAATAAAGATAGTACCTGATTAATCCCAGGGCAATTGATACTGTACCTTAGTGCCAACCTAATTGATAATCAAAATTATGTAATATTTAGAATTTACTTTAGACTAGAAAACATTAAATCATTATATGGAAGGTTACAGTTTTTAGAAAATTGGAAAAAAATTGCAGCAAAGGGAGTAGCAGATTTGCCCTGAAAGTCAATAAAATAATCAAGAGGTCACAAAGATTATTCTACTTGCAAATCAAGCTGGAACTGTTAATAAGTTTTCAGTTTCTTTTAGAATAAACTATCTGGAGCACAGTTCTGCCATCACTTATATATAGGCAGCATCCATTGATTTCAGAGGGATCAATAACTTATGTTCAAAGGTGTTGTTATGAATCTCTAATGCTGAGTCTAGCTGGTTGTTCTATGCATCTGGAATATAAAGAGAATTGAGTGTAAATCTATCAGCTTGACATCCTTTTCCACAGTTCCATGGAATTACCATACCTCTGTGAGGCATTCCTTTGGCTGTCTAAAACTGAGCTCTAAGAGTGAAATGAGTGGAAATCTACTATTGAGAAATTCATGAGAAATTCAGTTACGCTTACAGCCTCCTATGGCCATGATCATTAGGAACATTGCATGAATACATAGTAAAAAGAGGACATTTAAAATGACTTTTATTTCAGGAGTAAGGATTGTTTATTCATGGGATTGCATTCAACTCACAAGGCTGTTCTTCCAGCTCTTGACTCCTCCATAAATACTAGACACAAAAGATGGGAATAGGTGAATTGCCAGCCGAGGAAACAGATAGTCACCCTTTTAATATATTGCAGAGCCTCTCTGCATGGTATAATATTTTAAAAAGAACAGAACTGGAGTTTGAACCAATTACTGAATTTTAAGCTGGCATTTTTGGCCATAGTTTCATCCATCGGAAAGTCCCCAAAGCAGAAAACTGGCCCCTTAGGCTTCCATTCTATGGGTTCCCAGTTGGGAGTTTGCTTGGTTGAGCACAGTGGGACTTGTCTGTGAATAAATAATATACATAGAATTGCGTTATTGGCCTATTTCTTTTCTTTTCTTTTTTTAAGGAAAGAAATTTTGTTTCTCCATTAAGTTACATTCTTTCTGTTGTGAACCTTTGTTGGCTTTTTTTAAACTATGTCTGTAAATTTGCATGCAAAGGTTTTATTCACCCTTTTTTTTTTTACATCACCCTGGAATCTTATGGCTTGGGATGCTACAATAAATGTGTCAAAGGGAACATTAGTCAGAATGAGTTAGTTAGGATCCTACATACATGTATGTGCCTTTGAGATGATGCATTTTTAATATTTATATTCTTGGACCTTAGACACTATTTGTTTTATTTATTTATTTATTTATTGTCGGAGGCTTTCATGGCCGGGATCACTGGATTGCTGTAGGTTTTTTTTTGGGCTATATGGCCATATTGTAGAGGCATTTTCTCCTGACGTTTCGCCTGCATCTATGGCAAGCATCCTCAGAGGATGCTCATTTATTTATCAGCTGAATGGCTCAATATAGGGTTTCTAAGCATAAATTAGACACAAGCTTTGCTTCAGTAAGACAAAGAAAAACTCTCTGGACATCTACATGCATAAGACAATCCCCCTTAAGACAGGACAGGTGGTCTGTGTGCTTACATCTCCAAGACAACAGTTATCACTTCCCTCTTAACATCCCTCAGAGATCTAATAGTAGATCCAAGCAACCATGGCCCTCAACAACTTTCTAGGTGTGCCTCTGCTCATGTGTGAAAGAAATGTCCCATCTCTTGGCTACATCTATACTACATTGCAGAGGCCTGCTAAACACTCAATGGCAACTTTTTCTAACTGCAAAATCACCAAACACTTAGCTGGGGCAGAAGCAAAGTCAGTTATTGCTGTATCCATTGTACTGTTACCTGACGCAGATTCCTGGTTACTTTCACATCATGCCAGGCATTGTCATTAAATTTCCCATTCACAGGTTCCACCAGTGCTTCAAAGGCCCCTGAGCCCAAATTAATAACCAAGGAGACAGCTCCGTTTTTCAGGGCGAGGTTGACATAATCCGCTGATTTCCCGGTGTGAAGCATGAGTCCGTTCCTCTGAAGAGTTTTAAAGGACAGAGTTATTTCATCGCTGCTGCTCTGGATAGGATTTTGGGACAAGTCATAGCAGAAATACTCTGATCCCTTAAATGTTGCGATGTATTCTTCTTTTCCTAAAGAAATCAAGAAAGAGAGAGAGAAAAAGAAAGTTTTTCAATCAGCTGCTCTAAAGCAAACTATTTATACGTTTCCATAACTTTGCTGGCAGGCTTCAAATCTCAAAACTAGTTAGCCAAAAACAAAACATTTGGCACAGAAAGGTACCTTTGGATGACCCTCACACAGGGACAGACAATAGCTTTTACCAAAACTAGTTTTGAGCCACTTAATTCTATGATGAAGACAGGACAATTTCAAAATAATACTTTTTCACAAAAGAACATGCATCTGTGGTGCTCCAACCATAGAAGAAATTATACATATTTTGTTTGATGGTTGTATATAAATATGTATGCCAAAGTGAAATTCCAATATTTACAACAATTTTTGCTGAGAACAACCAACTGAAATCCAATTGCCAAACTGTCTTATTTTCTTTCTGGGGAAAATCTACACTTAGTCCACTGCATAGCCAAACTCATTATAAAAGTCGCCCACCTGAGAGATCTCTTTATCTCACAAAATAGGGTCCCTCGTCATGGTGATGAACTCATCTGAATTCTCCAACCAATTCCTTTACACTTATCACTCTATCCGCCCTGCTTTTATCTTGTAATTGAATCCAATTTTACAAAACTTGTTGTTTAACCAAGTTTTATTGTGTTTTAATTTTAGTTAACTGTTACAGGAGTTTTGGGATAGTGATTAATATTTATTTGTCTCTGTATCTTTGTTTTTTTTTTGTTTTTTTTTATATGGTCAGTGGACTAATCAATAAATAGATCTATCTTTCTAGAAATTACCAATTTTCCCCACTAGCTTCAAGATTATCAACAGAAATTCCTTTTTGGGAAGGAAGGTGTGATGAAACATCAACAAAACTTTTTTGTTTTGTTTGTGTTTCCATTTGAATTAACCAAAATCTGAAATGGAATACACAGAGATATGTGCTTTTCTCGAGTTTGTGAAAGAGTTCATCCAGAAAAACATGTGTGTGTATATATATCTGTATACAAAAATCTGTATATTTAAAGTTGCGCACACACAAAAAAATCATTTCTATAAAAATGTACACAACGATTTAAGATTGTCTGCACATTTCTTCCCTCTCCAAAACTTCTATCCCAGTTACATGTCACCTTGTCATGCCCAGCATTATTTTTTAAAATTTTTAATTATTACATTTGGCCCAGCCATAGGTTTTTTAATGTGTCGTGTTATTGTTAATGTTTATTGCTTATTTTTTGCTTATGACTTTATTTATTGTTTTGTATTGTTGTTGTTATTGTTTATTGTTGTATTGTGTGCTCGGCCTCATGTAAGCTGCACTGAGTCCCTTGGGGAGATGGTAGCGGGGTACAAATAAAGTTGTTGTTGTTGTTGTTGTTGTTGTTATTATTATTATTATTATTTACTCAGTGAAAAAATCACTTGCTAAAAGGTGTATGTTTGAAAAAAATCATATATAGAAATGAATGCAGCTGAAAAATATGTACAAAACATGTACATTTTGAAAAATAGGTATGGAAATTAATGTGAATTGTAAATGTTGACTTAAAATCAAATTAATACTCCATTACAGAACCAGATTACAATGAACATAGTATTAGAAAGATTGATTCTGAATCATTCATACTGTACCTCTAGACAAAATTTAGTTCATAATTTCTGAAAAAATGTGTAGTTATAATATAAACTTATATTTTAGATGTACTAATGCAGCACATATACTGTTAAAATGGGTATGTGTTCATATGCATTGGATCTGAGTACACACAATAAAGCTTTGATATGTCAATTTTACATGGGGTGTTACACTGTGAGTTGTTTTAAATCTGTATGGTAAAACACTGTCCACATTGAGCAAAATTCCATTTTTTTCTTTTTCTAACTAAAACACATTGTTGTTGTTGTTAACTCCCCAAGTCAACTTTGACTTCTTGCAACCACATGAATGGGAGACCTCCAAGTCACCCTAAAACCTCAACAGCCCTGCTCAGCTCTTGCAGAGTCAGGGACATGGCTTCCTTGATTGAGTCAGTCTATCCAGCATGTGGCCTTCCTCTTTTCCTACAGTATTTTATTTTACCAAGAATTATAGTCCTATGTAGTGAATCCTGTCTTCTCATGATATAACCAAAACACGACAGCATCAGTTTTGTCATCATGGCTTCTAAAGCTTTAATAAACTGAATTTTCATATTTCAAATTTTAATACAAAAGCTTGCAATTAAAATTCAGATTTAAGGTGTGATATTTTATATCAGGATAGAAATAATATAGACATGTTTTATATTATTATTTCAGCTGGATTTAATTGTCCAGTTTCACACACTTGCATTTGTGATATACGAAATGTAGCTGTCAAATGTAGCCAAATACTACTACCTCTGAATGTCAATGTGTATATATCACCCACTAGTTTTAAAATTGCATGGCCACCATCACAGAGTATGTGAACCACTGCCAGGCAAACATCTGACTGTCATTTAGTGATGTAGAATCTCCCTTTTTCAATGTAAATTGGACTTATCACTGATCCCCAGTATTTTCCGATCTCCCCTGCCTCATCCTTTCCTGGCAGTACAAAGGTCTACCATCTGTTCAAGGATTAGTATAGCTATAGAAAGTAACATTCATATGAAACTCAGTTGACATCTGCAACAGATTAATGGGTCCTCAAACCAAAGTCAAATGGTCTGGAGGATTGGAACAGATGTGATGATGCATAGTCATTCAAGAGCAGGATTTCTATAATGGAGATACATTTTAAATGACAATTTGTAGTCTCAAAACTTCTGCAGTATTGATTCAGTGCCTAGAGTAACATGAGTAAAAAGACATATTCTATCACTAATGATTTTGCAGTATAATGTGTAACCAATAACCAAACATGATAACAAAATATGGATCATGAAAGTATCTTGACCAAAAATTGCTTTAGGTCTCTTTTAAGAGAGAACAGCAGAAGAGGAGGAAGTTGCAAAAGGTAAAATTGGATCTTAATGTTTCTCCACAATGCTTACGGCAACCAAAATTGAATATCTCTCTCTTAATGAGGGGACACTCACCAGCATTTTTCTTGTGCTAATTCTAATTGGGAAAGGATTTTCTCTAAGGAAGAACAATGGGCATACATGCCATGGTTGCTTTCTCTATGCTATTGTTGTTACCTTATATTTTATTCTCCTCTGTTTTGGAAATAGATACTATAAATTTGATAGAATGGTCGAAGGACAATTTGTGGATTTCCATGTATTATTGAGATTGAGAGAGCCAGTATAGTATAGTAATTTGAGTGTTGGATGATGACTCTAGAGAACAGAGTTTGAATCTTGCTGTGCCATGTGAACTCGTTGGGTGACTTTGGTCATGTCATACACTCTTAGGCCCCACCTACCCTGCCAATTAAAAACCAGATTATTGGCTCTGAGCTGGATTAAATGGCAGTGTAGAATCATATCATCCATTTCAAAGGAGATCATGTGGATTATCTGATTAGATAATATGGATTATATGGCAGTGTAGATCTAGCCTTAGCCTAGTAAATCCTGTGATTGGTTTGCCTTAGGATCACTGTGAGTGAGAAATAACTTGAAGTTACTGAAGCAACAATAGCAACATCTAGTTTGACTTTACTGAGAGCGAAACATAGAGGGAATGAAAGGAAGGGGAAGATATCAGCAAAAAAGATAAAGTGAGCCAAAGCAAACATGTTGAAATGACCAACATGTGATGAGCTGGGCACCAGCCTGACTGCAGAATTAAGCACCGAGTGGACTTGTGGTATATTGTTTGATACTGAAAAGGCACAGATAAGATGGAAAATAGCATCTGGCCCACATGGGGCGGCTTCTATTGTGACACTATTTTCACATGGAAAGAATAATCTCCACGAAGACTTACATATGTCTTCTACTGCACCATTTTCATACAAACATTGAACTTCTCTCTTCTTTTTTTTGTAGAATAAGTTTTCCTTATTCTTGTTAGGGTTAAATAATTAAATATTAGAGACACAAAGACTTCATTAACTGAGCTCAACTTATATTCTGTATATTTGTTGGGGGGGGAGCTACTCTCAATCCCGCCACCCTCACAGGCACGATTGGCGGGGACAGGTTCTTCTCAGTGGTGGCTCCCATCTGTGGAATGCATTTCCCTGTGAAATTAGGGTGACTCCTTCTCTCCTCTCCTTCAGGAAGAAACTTGCATCTTGGCTTTGGGACCAAGCATTTGGGCAGCTGGCTGAGCAACAACTGTAATGACTCATGAGAATTGTCAATTAAGAGACCTTGGATTGGAACTCTGGACTATGATTTGGATTTGTGGATTCAGACTTGGTTGTGTTCATATTTCAGGACCAATATTTTAATGTATTTTTTTATTGCTATTGACCTGTTTATGTTAATTGTTGTGCTTTAACTGTTTCTTTGTCGGCATCTAATGACTGCCAATTGTAAGCTGTCCTGAGCCCCTCTTTGGGGATTGAGAAGGGCGGGATACAAATGCTCTAAATAAATAAATACTTGTTCTTGTGTGCCTTCAACTTATGATAATTCTAAGGTGAAGATATCAGGTGGTCTCCAGAGTTATAGTCTAACATTTAAACCAGTACAATTAATTGGCTCTCACATCTGTATAACAATCACTATAAATTTCAGTGTGGACCCAGATTTGCTCAGTTTACCTAGCACCCTTTTCACACTACAGAATACAGATGCGACAAAGAGATTGTGCAAAAATGTTCCCACTTCCAGAGTTTAAAGTTTCATTATGCAGTATCTTGCAGTGGTAATTATTTGAAGGACAATTTGGAGGAATATAACTGTTGTAAACAAATACTGAGTCATGGGGATCCTGGAAAGCTATCAAGAAGGGTTATGTGCCCCCTGACAGGCCTTTCTGTAAAGAAACAAGGTGAAGTATTTTTGACTCCTTGGCATTTTTCCTTCAGAAGGGGCCCAAGAAGACCAGTCAGCAATTCATTATAGAGGAAAAAATTCCAGCTGGT